CTCCACTCTCCTCTCGGGATCTTGGGCACGCACGCACACGCGCCCGGTGTGGGTTTTAAGCCACCGGGTCCAGGACGCGAACCGCGGTCGACTACGTGGGAGTCCAGCGACATAGCCATCACGCTAAATGCTTGTTCCCTTTTTTTTCTGTCCTTTAAAAGGATAAACCTGGATATGATTTGGGGCCACAGTTATCTCCATCAGAGAAGTTCAGACCCCCTGATCCCCACTTTTTACTTGTGTGTCTTCGCATGTTTAGCTTTTCATTTATGCTCTAAGCCACAGTCCCCACTCAGGCACACATTCGTTTACCATGAGGGACTCAGCAGCGTCGGGCCGTTAATACAATACGCACCAACGCTCAGTGTCTTAGGTCAGCTGTCATGTCATTTCTTACCTTGGACCTTTATTCATTCCATCATATTAAAGTACACATGAACAAAGGTAGACTTTCAATTTACTTTTTATTGTGTCTATTATAAAAATAAATAAATAAAAGAAATAAAACCACCCTGGAATTTAAGTAGCAAAGATGGCGGCTTCAGAGTGTATTAAACAGAAGGCTTCCTGGGAGTTATCTGGTTAAGGGCCCCCAGGGGTATGACTAGCAGCTGCATGGCCTATGGCTGTGACCATGTGGCTGAGCCAACAGGGCCGATGGAAGGGACGTAGATAGTGGTGTCAGGCTGCCGTGGACCACTCCTTGTTATTGTTACAGAGTGAGGTTTCCTCAGTTTTCCCACTGGTTAAGAAAATATGCAATAACTACATGATAGGATAATAGTACACAAGAAAACTGAAATATCCCCAAAACAAAAAGCCCACCTGGAATCTCAACAGACGGTTTTACAAACAATAAATGACGAAGAAATGACCCTTTTGTGCTTCTGTCTATAACCAGCTGTTTCTAGTGCCACAGTCAGCTGCTCTTTTAAACACACAGAAGGCGATGACAGCAAAGTAGATTGCACTCCTGAGGAGCAGGGGGAGGTCGGTGTAGTACACAGAGGCGTTGGTGAGCTGCAGCCCCAGTGCCTCCCAGAAAAGTCTCCTTAGTTGTGCCTGTGTTAATGGGATAGGAAAAACATTCATGTGGAATGGCTCATGGATATTGTTTTAAATAACCTACTTTGAAATGACACCAACACTCCGAAGTGAACATCCAGCACTAACACCACCACCAACACCAAGAGAGAGACAACCCAGAGCTCAGCTTGCAGATCAAGCTGATCAACAACTTCTATTAATTCATTATTACAAGTAATCTGAAGACAGACAGAAGTTATTTTGCTTATATTATGGATTACTAAGTGCCACAGCCCTGGTTTCAACCCCAGTAGCATGACGTTAAAGTCACAGTCTTAGCCATTCTGAAACTCTGCATCCCTGAGTGCAATAAACATCCCAGTCTCCAAAGAGTGAAGGACAAATATGAAGTCAAGTGGCCTATGTAGTAATATCTGAGCCATGACACATGGTGCACAAAATGAAAAATTTTCTCATGTTCACAGTGAGGTAGAGAAGGGTTTTAGATCAAGTTTTTATACCAAAAGGCATTATAGAAAACAGAAGAAAGGGTCATCCAAATTTTCTGAGCTGTTTAGAGGTTATGGTCCACTCACATATCTTTTCTAAATATATCTCATTGTGGCTATGATGTTTCTTACAATTGTGCTTAATAGTCTTTGAGGTTTTTTGGGACCAGCAGTTAGTGTAATGGCTGTGTCGCTGAACTCCCATGTAGCCAACCGCA